TTTTTTTTTTTTTTTTTTTTTTTTTTTTTTTGAGATGGAATCTCTCTCTCTTGCCCAGGCTAGAATGCTGCAGTGCGATCTCAGCTCGCTGCAACCTCTGCCTCCGGGTTCAAGCAATTCTCCTGTCCTAGACTCCCTAGTAGCTGGGATTACAGGCGTCCACCACCATGCCCAGCTGATTTTTGTGTTTTCATTAGAGACAGGATTTTGCCGTGTTAGCCAGGCTGGACTCTAATATAATGCAAATAACTGTGAAAAATAGTAAGACATTTCTTTTCCCCCATTTTGTGAAATCACAGATTAGCGTTCTTTCTTGGAGATTTTCTCTTTTATTTAAGTACCACTTGAATGATAAAATAGTTTGTGAAAACATTATGTTAAGGTGACTATCTCAGTACCGAACTTGTTAAATAACAAACTTAGTCTCGCATCTCTACTCTTTTAAACTTGGGTTTTATTATTATTTTCTTAGGCTTTGCTGAATTCTGTTTTATTCCAGACATGCTGGTGTCTACACGGCAGAAGAAGTAGCCCTGATTATGCGTGAGAAGCTAATTCGTTTACAGTCTTTGTACATTGATCAGTTTAAACGACTTCAGCATCTGCTCAAGGAGAAGAAGCGCCGGTACTTACATAATCGCAAAGTGGAACATGAAGCTCTAGGCAAGTTTTATGCCAGTTCAGCAAGCTGTTGTGGGTTTAATGTGTGGATTTGGCAGTATAGTCCTGTGTCGCTTAATGATGGGGATACATATGTTGTTAGGCATTTTTTTTTCTTTTGGAGTTAGGTGATTTTTATCATTCAAACTTCATAGAGTGTCTTAGGCTAACCTAGGTGGTATAGCCTGCACCATACCTAGGCTGCAAACCTAGAAAGATGTTACTGTACTGAATACTGTGGGCAGTTGTAACACAGTGCTAAACATAGAAACACATCTAAACATAGAAAAGGTACAGTTAAGTTATGGCATAAAAGATTTTAAAGATGGCATATCGCATGAATGGAGCTTGTAGGACTGGAAGTTGTTTTGGGCATGTGAGTGAGTGGTGAGTCAGCGGGAAGGCCTAGCACATTATTATTTACTACTGTAGATGTTTTAAGTACTGTACACTTAGGCTATACTAAACTTATTTGAAAAATTCTTCAATAATAAATTAACCTTAGCTTACTCAAACTTGTTTACTTTATAAACTTTTTTTTTTAAATTGAGACAAACATGCAGTCTTGCTCTACTGCCCAGACTGAAGGGCAGTGATGCCATCTCAGCTCACTGCAACCACTGCCTCCTCGGTTCAAGCAATTCTCTGCCTCCTAGGTTCAAGCCACCTCAGCTTCCTGAGTATTTGTGATTACAGGCGTGTGCTAATTTTTAAATTTTTAGTAGTGATAGGGTTTTGCCATTAGCTAGGCTGGTCTTGAACTCCTGACCCCAAGCAATCCACCCACCTAGGTCTCCCAAAGTTCTGGGATTATAGGCGTGAACCATTGCACCTGGGCTATAATTTTTTTTTTTTTTTTTTGAGACGGAGTTTCGCTCATGTTACCCAGGCTGGAGTGCAATGGCGCGATCTCGGCTCACCGCAACCTCCGCCTCCTGGGTTCAGGCAATTCTCCTGCCTCAGCCTCCTGAGTAACTGGGATTACAGGCACGCACCACCATGCCCAGCTAATTTTTTGTATTTTTAGTAGAGACGGGGTTTCACCATGTTGACCAGGATGGTCTCGATCTCTTGACCTTGTGATCCACCCGCCTCGGCCTCCCAAAGTGCTGGGATTACAGGCTTGAGCCACCGTGCCTGGCCTTTTTTTTTTTTTTTTTTTTTAAAGACAGAATCTTGCTCTGTCACTCAGTCTGGAGTGCAGTGGCATGATCCTTGCTCACTGCAGCCTTGAACTCGTGGACTTAAGCTATCCTGGCTCAGCCTCCTGAGTAGCTAGAACTGCAGATGCACCACCATACTCAATCAGCTATTTTTAAATCTTTGTAGAGACGGAGTCTTGCTATGTTACTCAGGTTGGTCTTGAACTCCTGTGCTCAAGTGACCCTTCTACCTTGGCTTCCCAAAGTGCTCGGATTGATTACAGGGATGAGCCACTGTACCTGGCCTTTATAAACTTAAATTTTTTTTTTTTTTTTTTAAACTTCTGGACTCTATAATAACACTTAGCTTAAAACACAAACACATTGTACGGCTGCACAAAAATATTTTCTTTATATCCCTATAAGCTTTTCTAGTTTTAATTTTTTTCTTTAAAAAAAAAAAAAAACTTTTAAACTTTTGTTAGGAACTAAGGTGCAAACACATACATTCACCTAGCCTACCTGGGCCTAGTGTCATTGTCTTCCACCTCCACATTTTGTCCCAGTGTAAGGTCTTCAGGGACAATCACATGCAGCAAGCTGTCATCTCATGGCAACGATACCTTCTGCAGTAACTTCTGAGAGACCTGCCTGAGGCTGTCTTACATTTAACTTTTTAAAAATAGAGTGGAGAACATTCTAAGGATAAATAATATATCGTAAATGCATAAACCAGTAACACAGTTGTTCATTACCAAATATTATGTACTGTGCATAATTGTTATGTGCTAGACTTTTACACAACTGGCAGTGCAGTAGGTTTGGTCACCAGCATCTCCACAAATGTGTGAGTTAAACTATGATGTCACTAGGCAATAAGAATTTTTCAGCTTTGTTATAATCTTTTTTTTTTTTTTTTTTGAGATGGAGTTTCGCTCTTGTTACCCAGGCTGGAGTGCAATGGCGCGATCTCGGCTCACTGCAACCTCTGTCTCCCGGGTTCAGGCAATTCTCCTGCCTCAGCCTCCTGAGTAGCTGGGATTACAGGCACGCGCCACCATGCCCAGCTAATGTTTTGTATTTTTAGTAGAGACGGGGTTTCACCATGTTGACCAGGATGGTCTCGATCTCTTGACCTTGTGATCCACCCGCCTCGGCCTCCCAAAGTGCTGGGATTACAGGCTTGAGCCACCACGCCCGGCCTAGCTTTGTTATAATCTTATGGGACCACCATAGTATATATGGTCCATGATTGATTAAAAATTGGTCATATATAGCACATGACTGTAATTAGATTGATTTCTGTCTTGGTACCTGGAATGGGGGAAAATTTGCTTTTGAAACTGCCTGTTTTTTACTAAAGATTTTTCTGTTTACTTGTTGATTTGGAGAAGTAACCTCGATAGGTTGCTTGGCAAGTAACGTCTTGACTCTTTTAACTCTAGGCAGTAGTCTGCTGACGGGCCCAGAGGGACTTTTGGCCAAAGAACGAGAGAACTTAAAACGATTAAAATGTCTGCGTCGATACCGCCAGCGATATGGAGTGGAAGCCTTACTGCATAGGCAGTTGAAAGAACGCAGAATGCTGGCCACAGATGGTGCCACCCAACAGGTAATTTGTGTGTATACTTTATTTTTATTTATTTTTATTTTTTTGAGATAATTTGTGTGTATACTTTATTTTTATTTTTTTGAGATAATTTGTGTGTATACTTTATTTTTATTTATTTTTATTTTTTTGAGATAGAGTCTTGCACCGTTGCTCAGGCTGGAGTGCAATGGTGTGACCTTGGCTTACTGCACCCTCCACCTCCTAGGTTCAAATGATTCTCCTGCCTTAGCCTCCCGAGTAACTGGGATTATGAGTGGCTGCTACCACGCCCAGCTGATTTTTTTGTATTTTGAGTAGAGACGGGGTCTCACTGTGTTGACCAGGCTGGTCTTGAGCATGTGACCTCATGATCCACCTGCCTTGGCCTCCCAAAGTGTTAGGATTACAGGCGTGAACCACCGTGCCTGGCCATGTTCACTTTATTTACAAAGTTAGAGTAATTATCAAAACATTATGTCCACTCTTGGATCTGAAATCTGACTTTCTGCACTTGGCCTTTCTGACTTTCTTCACAGGCACAGTGAAAGCACTTAGCCTGAAGTCAGGAGGCATGGATTCTAGTCTCAGTCCCCACTGATGAGCTTTTTGTCTGTACAGACAGCTTTACTTTTCTGGGCCTCAGTATTCTTATCTGCGTGTTGAGTAGTTGGAAAAAGTTTCTAAGTCTTTCGGTTCAGATATTCTTCATTTCAGAAATAAACACAGGTTAAGCCTAAATTGTTTGGGAATCTTGTTTTAAAAGGTGTGAAGGTAGAATAGGAGCAATTGAATGTCAGGAAGTAAGGTTAATAGGAAGAAAAGTTAAGTGATTATTCTGAAATTTGTTTTTGAAACCCTTGGTCTCTGTTTCACTAAGAGTAATTTTATTTGTTTCATTTGTTAAGATTCCACCTAAGTTTACAATTTCCAAGTGTTCTGTTGGTAAAAGACAAAATCTTAAAACAGTTAGGCTATATCACACTTTTAGAATATGGAGAGGTATATTTGGGATTAAGGTTGACTCATTATATGCTAGATTTTAGTTTTTTGTCTTTTGCATAATATTGGTGTATCTATTTTTGTTAAATGTTGAATTTTCTAGCCTTTAAGATGTGCTTTTCTTATATGACTATTTTCATCGTAATTGTTTGTATGTTCTTTTGTGGGCCTATTTTATCTGTCTTTTTCCATTTTAGGCCCATACCACTCGTTCCAGTCAGAGGTGCTTGGCCTTCGTGGATGATGTTCGTTGTTCAAATCAGTCTCTTCCAATGACCAGACACTGCCTTACCCGTATCTTTTTACTTTGCCTGTTAAGGCTCTGATTTGTTAGTTTGAAGACTAGTGGGAATCTCTGTGCTAGTTTGCTTAATTGAAGGTTTTTGTTTTCCTTTGGCCCTGAATCAAGGCCAGCAGTTTGCCGAAGCTGTTGGTTTCAAGCAGGAGCCTAAAGAATTATCTTTCTATGGTCTGTTGGCCATTTCATAACTTTGGAAATGTAGTGGTCAATTCATTAGAAAGAAACATGAGTCATTTGTTATAGATGTGGGCTAATATTTATAGCCTTAATACTAGGGTTCCAGAATATCCATAAAATGTTTATAATTGTCTCAAGGTTTCTGATTTAACCTGCTTATTAGAACCCTAATGCTGTTAAATCTAATTATAACCTTAAAAAATTACTGTGGGTTTTCCACCCCAATTGAAAGGATGATTCTGCAGTGTGAACTTCTAGTATCATCCTTTTGTGTGGTTAGGGCCCTGGCTTCTATATTTTTATTTTATTTTTTGGAGACGGAGTTTTGCTTGTCTCCTAGGCTGGAGTGCAGTGGTGTGATCATGGATCACTGCAACCTCTGCCTCCTGGGTTCAAGCAATTCTTCTGCTTTAGCCTCCTGAGTAGCTGGGATTACAGGCGTGCACCACCACACCCCGCTAATTTCTGTATTATTATTAGAGATGGAGTTTCACCATGTTGGCCAGGTTGGTCTCAAACTCCTGACCTCAGGTGATCCACCATCCTTGGCTTCCCAAAATGTTGGGATTACTGACGTGAGACACTGTGTCCGATGTTTGTTTTGAGACAGAGTCTCACTCTGTTGCCAGACTGGAGTGCAGTTGGCACCATCTTGGCCCACTGCAACCTCTGCCTTCTGGGTTCAAGTGCTTTTCCTGCCTCAATCTCCTGAGTAGCTGGGATTACAGGCATGTGCTACCACACCCAGCTAATTTTTGTATTTTTAGTAGAGACAGGGATTCACCATGTTGGTCAGTATGGTCTCAATCTCTTGACCTCGTGATGCACCTACCTTGGCCTCCCAAAGTGCTGGGATTACCCGGCTTTTATTTTTTTATTTTTATTTTTTTTTTTTTGAGACGGAGTTTCGCTCTTGTTACCCAGGCTGGAGTGCAATGGCGCAATCTCGGCTCACCGCAACCTCCGCCTCCTGGGTTCAGGCAATTCTCCTGCCTTAGCCTCCCGAGTAGCTGGGATTACAGGCACGCGCTACCATGCCCAGCTAATTTTTTGTAGTTTTAGTAGAGACGGGGTTTCACTGTGTTAACCAGGATGGTCTCGATCTCTTGACCTCATGATCCACCCGCCTCGGCCTCCCAAAGTGCTGGGATTACAGGCGTGAGCCACCGCGCCCGGCCGGCGGCTTTTATTTTTAATTAAAATTTTAATTTTTTTATTTTTTTGAGATGGAGTCTTGCTGTGTTGCCCAGGCTGGAATGCAGTGTCTCAGTCATAGCTCACTGCAGCCTTGAACTCCTGGGCTCACGCAGTTCTCCGACCTCAGCCTCTGAATAGCTGGGACTATGTGTGATGTGTGCCAGCATGCCTGGCTAATTATTTAATTTCATTATTACTATATTTTTTTGAAACAGTCTTGCTCCGTTGTGCAAGCTGGAGTGCATTGGTGTGATCTCGGCTCACTGCAACCTCTGCCTCTCAGGTGCAAGCAATTCTTGTGCCTCAGCCTCCTGAGTAGCTGGGATTACAGGTGTGTGATACCATGCCTGGCTAATTTTGTGCTTTTAGTAGAGATGGGGTTTCACAGTGTTGGCTAGGTCGGTCTCAAATTCCTGATCTCAGGTGATCTGCCCGCCTTGGCCTCCCAAAGTTCTGGGTTTACAGGCGTCAGCCACCATGCCCAGCCATTAAATAGGATCTTTATGTGAAAGGCTTAATTAAATGTTGCTGGATTTCATTTGTGTGCAAGAAATGCCAATTATTTGGAAATTAAAAACTTACTTTCTTTAATAGGAAGAGGAGGAGAACCTCTTCTTAGTCTTTTGATAAGATGCTGATTTTTCGTTTTGCTTATTAAATGTTACTAATTTATTAATTACTACAACAGATGTCTCATAAAGGATTACAGTTCTTATTTATGAAATGTTGTGCAAAGTAAAGAAAAACTCTAAAGATAAATGCTTACAGCCTGGACAACACAGTGAGACCACATCTCTAAAGGAAAAATAAAAATTAACTGGGTGTGGTGGCACGTGTCTGTATTCTCAGCTACTTGGGAGCATCTTTTGAGCCTACCAGTTTGAACCCGCAGGATCATGCCACTGCATTCTACCTTGGGTGACAGAGCAAGACCCTGTCTCTTAAAAAAAAAAAATAAAAGTCTGGGTGTGGTGGTTCACGCCTGTAATCCCAACACTTGAGGAGGTGGAGGCGGGTGGATAGTGGGGTCAGGAGTTCAAGAGCAGCCTGGTCAAGATGGTGAAACCCTGTCTCTACTAAAAATACAAAAGAAAAAAATTAGCCGGACATGGTGGTGGGCTACTGTAATCCCAGCTAGCTACTTGGGAGGCAGAGGCAGAGAATTGCTTGAACCTGGAAGGTGGAAGTTACAGTGAGATGAGATCACACCACTGCACTCCAGGCTGGGTTACAGAGTGAGACTCCGTCTCAAAAAAAAAAATTGCTTAAAATACAATTGGGTGGTTGGGAGTGGTGCTTCATGCCTGTAATCTCAACACTTTGGGAGGCTGAGTTGGGCAGATCATGAGGTCAGGAGTCCAAGACCAGCCTGACTAATATGGTGAAACCCCGTCTCTTCTAAAAATATGAAAATTAGCTGAGGGTCATGGTGTGCACCTGTAGTCCCAGCTACTTAGGAGGCTGATGCAGGATAATCGCTTGAACCTGGGAGGGGGAAATTGCAGTGAGCCAAGATTGTAGCACTGCACTCCAGCCTGGGCGACAGAGCGAGACTCCATCTCAAAAAAAAAAAAAAAAAATAATTGGGCATATTTAAAAGAAGATAGAAAAGGCTAATAGTTGAAAAGTGTATGTCTTCACTATAAATACAGTTGGCCTTTGAACAATTCAGGGGATTGGGGTGCTGAGCCCCCTACACAGTTGAAAATTTGTGTATAATTTTTGATTCCTCCAAAACTTAACTGCTAGTAACCTTTAGCTTACTGTTGATCAGAAGCCTTATCAACAACATAGCTGCCTGATGCTGTATTTTATATGTTTATATGTCATATATTGTATTCTTATAATAAACTAAGAAAATGTTACTAAGAAAATAGGAAAATATTTTTTTTCTGTTTATTAAATGGAAGGATTATCATAAAGATTTTTATTCTTACGGTCTTTATGTTGAGTAAGTGGAGGGGAAATGTTACTGTCTAGGATGGCAGAGGCAGAAGAAAATGCATATGTAAGTGGACCTGTGCAATTCAAGTCTGTGTTGTTCAAAGGTCACCTGTAAATAGGAAATAAAACAAGGAAAATTTAAAATCTATAAAATTGATATTCGTTCATATGTTTGTTTTAAAATAAAATTTTAAATGTGCAATTAGAATGAGTCAGTGAGGCCGGGCGCGGTGGCTCAAGCCTGTAATCCCAGCTCTTTGGGAGGCCGAGGCGGGTGGATCACGAGGTCAAGAGATCGAGACCATCCTGGTCAACATGGTGAAACCCCGTCTCTACTAAAAATACAGAAAGTTAACTGGGCATGGTGGTGCGTGCCTGTAATCCCAGCTACTTAGGAGGCTGAGGCAGGAGAATTGCCTGAACCCAGGAGGCGGAGGCTGCGGTGAGCCGAGATCGCGCCATTGCACTCCAGCCTGGGTAACATGAGTGAAACTCTGTCTCAAAAAAAAAAAAAAAAAAAAGAATGAGTCAGTGAATTTCAAAAGTAGGTGAGAGTATGGTAAAATGAACCCTTCTAAATATTGGCAATGGGAATATAAATTGACATAAGCTTTTTGAAAGCAGTTTGAAAGTAATTCTTATTTCTTCACATGGTAATTTTTACCCCTGGAAATTTATTTTGAAGAGATAATCGAATGCAGACCAATATTTTTACATAAAATATTGTTTGAACTAAAGACAGCCTTAAAATTTTTTATCTTCCTGGACAATATGGAGATAAATCATAGCACAACATAATATGGATTATTTTCAGGCATTAAATACATTTAACACAATTTATGAATTACAGCAGAATGATAGTGACAATCTGTATAGTGTCTAAACTGCATGAAACAAAATTCTGGGAGGGAACAACACAGATATGTGGTAATTTTTGCATGGCGTGGTTATGAATGCCCCCTTTTCACTGTTCCTTTTTTTTGGTTTTTTAAGGTGAGCTTGAATTACTTCTATAAGGAAAAATCTCAGTTTACAGATAGTATAGACTATTTTATATATTTTTCATAATACTGTACTCAGATATAAAGCAAAGTTGAAAATGAAATGTATTTGAAAAGAGAAGGACAGTGTTTTTTTTTTTTCCTTTTATGCTCTTTCCTTTCCACTCCATAGTTGTCTAAGTTACTTACCCTTCCTTAAGTCCTTATCCCAGAGAAAGATGCGACTGCCATTGGTGACCTGTTAACTCTTTACTGTGGTCTAATGGAGACAGCACTCGACTGAAAGTGAAGGACCCAGACTATAGTTGTAGGTTAACCTTTCCCTTCTTATCTTCTTTGTCCCCATCTGAAAGGAAAGTGGGTGGAGGATGATGGGGGGAGTCCTTTTTTAGGATATTGTGGTATTAAATACATAAGAGACTTGTGAAAGTCCTCTGAATTCCAGCGGAAAAAAGTTCTTGGCTGGGTGTGGTGGCTCACGCCTGCAGTCCTAGCACTTTGGGAGGCTGAGGTGGGTGGATCATCTGAGGTCAGGAGTTTGTTTGAGACCTGCTGGCCAACATGGCGAAACCCTGTTTCTACTAAAAATACAAAAATTAGCCGGGTATGATGGTGGTCGCCTGTAATCCCAGCTACTCAGGAGGCTGAGACAGAATTGCTTGAACCTGGGAGGCCCAGGCTGCAGTGAGCTGAGATTGTGCCACTGCATTCCAGCCTGGGTGACAGAGCGAGACTTTGTCTTAAAAAAAAAAAAAAAAAGTTCTGGTTGAAACATTTAATGGATAACATTTTAAATATTAATAATTTAAGAATGGGCTTCTTAAGCACATTAGATATGCTTAGGTTTAAGCATATAGTGCAAATCTGATGGTTCCCATTAGGTTCATATGTTTATTCATTTGGTTATTCATTCAATAAATACTTGTTTGCTTTGTACCATCTTCTGTTTCTTTAGAATAGTGGTTTTCAGTTGGGGGCCATCTTGTTTTCCAGTTGGCAATGCGTGGATAAATTTTTGGTTGTTACACCTCAGAGATACAGGTGCTACTGACAGGCCAGGAATGCTGCTATACATCTTTCTTCCAACAAAGATGTACCTGGTCCACAATGTTGGTAGTGTCACAGCCGTCACACCCTACTTGAGAGTTTAGTTATTTCCAGGTATGGATTGAAAGTAATGGCTTTATTCAAGAAAGTTTATATGGTTTAAAAAATTAAAATGTAGGCCAGGTGCAGTGGCTTATGCCTTTAATCCCAGCATTTTGGGAGGCTGATGTGGGTGGATCACCTGAGGTCAAGAGTTCGAGACCAGCCTGACCAACATGGTGAAACTCTGTCTCTACAAAAAATACAAAATTTGCCAGGTGTGTTGGCACATGCCTGTAATCCCAGCTATTTGGGAGGCTGAAGCAGGAGAATTGCTTGAACCTGGAAGGCGGAGGTTGCCGTTAGCCGAGATCATGCCATTACACTCCAGCCTGGGCAACAAGAGCAAAACTCTGCCTCAAAAAAAATAAAAAAACAAAAAAAAAAATTAGATTTTTTATTTTTAAGATTACAATTCCATAATCCAGCTACTGTCAGTTTATAGAAAAATTGTGTTTTCTGATTAAAAATAAGTCTAATTTTAAAATAATGCTTATTAATCTAGAAAAATAATCAGGTAGTTAAGATTTCAAGAAATGGTAGCACTTGCATAAAATGTGTTTTGTAGAGTAACTTGAATTTTACTGTATCTAATCATGATCTTGATTTTGATTCATCCTACAGAGCTTCTTTGCTAACTTGGAAATAAAGCCCTTCTACCTTTAACAAAAGTTGTTGTAGAGTCCTTGCAGTGTTTCTGGAGTACTTTTTTTTTTTTCAGTGGGCCTTCATAAGCAAAATTTTCGTCTTCCTTTAGGATCAGAAAAGGGCTCCCCTGAACTACCACACTCCCCCAAAAAACAAAAAGCATTGATATTTAATTTCTTGTCAGTATATGATACCTATTGACTTTGCTAGAGCTGTTCTCCCCTATTCCAATGTGCTTGAAATGAATTTATCATGTAGTCATCTTTGGAAACAAGGTCCAAGAAACTGTTGAAAAATTTACCAGTCTGCTAAGGGAGCAGACACGTTGTATTTCTTGACTCTTTGGAAGGGCTGTGTGGGGGGCATTTTCAAGGCTATTTGCATTTGCCACTACAGTGTTTATTCTGGACAGGTGTGTGTTCCTGGGAGTGTAACTGCTACTTGCTTAAGGGAGAATGGATTAGTGTCTAGTTTAAATGACTAGGATCCTGAAAAGGAGGTTGGAAACTAGTTTTAAATTACTGGTAGAGCTAGAATTTGATGCTAGTAAATGACATTTATTTTGAGAAGTAACTTTAAAAATTGCTAACTGCATTTGGTATTTTGTATCAAATGTAGCTGAAATTTATCTTGTATAGTCCAGACCTTAAGTTTTACGTGGCAGAGCATGCTATTTATATTTTATGCTTTCGATAGATTGTGCTTTATTTCCCTTGACCATATTTCTACAGATATTTGTCAGGATACGAATCAGGTTCTCTTCAAGTGCTGCCAGGGATCTGAAGAGGTACCCTGCAACAAACCTGTTCCTGTAAGCCTCTCTGAGGATCCCTGCTGCCCACTCCATTTCCAGTTGCCTCCTCAGATGTATAAGCCCGAGCAGGTACTGTCTGTGCCAGACGATCTGGAAGCCGGCCCCATGGATCTGTACTTGAGTGCTGCTGAGCTTCAGCCCACTGAGAGTTTACCTCTGGAGTTCAGTGATGTAAGTTAGAGAAGCTCTGCTCTGGCTCAGGCCCTTGAGACAAGGCCTTATTTATTAATGGTGAGGAATAGGTTAGTCTTTGGTGGTTAGGAGAATTGACAGTTTTTGAAGTGATATATATGTATGGTTTTATTTGTTTTTATTTTTTATTTTTTTTGAGACGGGGTTTCGCTCTTGTTACCCAGGCTGGAGTGCAATGGCATGATCTCGGCTCACCACAACCTCCGCCTCCTGGGTTCAAGCAATTCTCCTGCCTCAGCCTCCGAGTAGCTGGGACTATAGGCACGTGCCACCATGCCCAGCTAATTTTTGTACATGGTTTTATTTGTATGTTAGCATACTAATTTAGAGAAATCTGCCTTACCTGATTTTTTTTCTAGATACTTTTTCATACCTTTTTAGGGATACAATTTACATACCATAAATTGCACTCTTTGAAAGTGTGTAATTTAGCGATTTTTAGTATATTCACACTATCTGATTTCAGGTTTTCATTATCTCCAAAAGAAACTCAATTACTGTTATGTCACTCTTCATTTTCTTCTCCCTTCAGCCCTTGGCCACCATGAATCTACTTTTTGTCTCCAAATTTGCTTGTTCTGGACATTTCATATCAGTGTAATAGTATATGTATCCTTTTGTGTCTGGTTTGTTTCACTTAGCATAATGTTTTCTAGGTTTATCCATACCAGCATGTATCAATACATCATTCTTTTTTGTGACTGAATTAATATTCCATTGTTTGGAAATACAGCACTTTAAAAATCTGTCAGTTGATGGATATTTGCGCTGTTTCTGCTTTTTGGCTATTAAGGAATATACTGTTATGAACTTTTTTTTTTTTTTTTTTTTTTTGAGATGGAGTTTTGCTCTTGTTACCCAGGCTGGAGTGCAATGGCGCGATCTCGGCTCACCGCAACCTCCGCCTCCCGGGTTCAGGCAATTCTCCTGCCCCAGCCTCCTGAGTCGCTGGGATTACAGGCACACGCCACCATGCCCAGCTAACTTTTTGTAGTTTTAGTAGAGACGGGGTTTCACCATGTTGACCAGGATGGTCTCGATCTCTTGACCTCGTGATCCACCCGCCTCGGCCTCCCACAGTGCTGGGATTACAGGCTTGAGCCGCCGCGCCCGGCCTATGTTATGAACTTTTGAGACAGGGTTTCTGTTGGTGGCATGAGCCACTGTGCCTGCCTAAGTTATCATTTTTACAACTTTTGTTTTTCTGAGTTGTGGTTTTTCTCTGTTGCTCAGACTGGAATGCAGTGGCGTGATCATGGGTCACGGCAGCCTCAACCTCCTGGGCTTAAGTGATCTCCCACCTCAGCCACCCAAGTAGCTGGGACTATAGGTTTATGCCACCATGCCCAGCCAATTTTTTATTTTTTGTATAGAAGAGGTCTCCCTATGTTGCCTAAGCTGGTCTTCAACTCCTGGGCTCAGGTGATCCTCTTACCTTGGCCTCCCAAAGTGCTGGGATTACAAACATGAGCCACTGTCCCCGGCCACTTTAATTTGGCCTTTTTTTTTTTTTTTTTTTTTAAAGGAACAAATCTTTGTTCTGTCATTCAGGCGGGAGTACAGTGGTGTGATCTCAGCTCACTACAACCTCTGCCTCCTAGGTTCAAGCAATTCTTGTGCTTCAGCCTCCTAAGTAGCTGGGACTACAGGTGCGTGCCAGCAGGCCTTACTAATTTTTGTGTTTTTGGTAGAGACAGGGTTTTGCCATGTTGGCCAAGCTGGTTTCGCTTGAACTCCTGGTCTCAAATGATCCACCCACCTTGGCTTCCCAAAGTGCTGGGATATAGGCATGAGTCAGCATGTCTGGCCTATAACTTGTTATTGATAACCTAGGTGATTTTACTTGTGGGAAGACCAGGCATCAGATATTAATACGGGTAAAAACACAGCCTTTCATTCTGGATATTTGCTTGTTTCCTGTGCTTTGATGCAAGAATGTTTGGCAGGTAGTAACTTAACACTTTATCTTACTGTTTTAAGTTCCTTCTCTCTCATTCTCTTCTGGTGGTTCTTGGAGATAGTAACAAAACGTGGATTCTGTTTTTTTAATTTTTATTTACTTATTTGTGTTTTGAGATGGAGTTTTGCTCCAGATTGGAGTGCAGTGGCGATCTTGGCTCACCGTAATCTCCACCTCCTGGGTTCAAGCAGTTGTCCTGTTTCAACCTCCCAAGCAGCTGGGATTATAGGTGCATGCCATCAGTCCTGGCTAATTTTTGTATTTTTTAGTAGAGATGTGGTTTCACTATGTTGGCCTAGCTGATCTCAAACTCCTGACCTCAGGTGATCTGCTTGCCTTAGCTTCCCAAAGTGCTGGGATTGTAGGCATGAGCCAAAAACATGGATTCTCTTTATATCCTCATACTTTTAGTTTTTAAAACACTCCTGTTTTAATTGGAATTTTTGCCTATTTCCTTCACTTATTTTAGGTTCTTTTTGCCAATTTAAAATCTTATAAGAGATAACACTGTGTATATATGAGAAAAGCCTTTTCTGAAAACATATCCATTCCATTGTTATCTTGAGACTTGGATGCCTTTTGCTTCAATGTTTAATTTCAAGCTAATTATTATCATTATTATTTTTGACAGAGTCTCGTTCTGTCATCCAGGCTGGAGTAGAGTGGCGCAGTCTCGGCTCACTGCAACCTCTGCCTTCTGGGTTCAAGCGATTCTCCTGTCTCAGTCTCCCAAGTAGCTGGGATTCCAGGCGTGGTCCACCATGCCTGGCTAATTTTTATATTTTTAGTAGAGAGAGGGTTTTGCCATGTTGGCCAGCCTGGTCTCGAACTCCTGGCCTCAAGTGATCTGTCCACCTGTATTTCTTATATAAATAATTAGCGTGCAGTCCAAGCTAATTATTTGTATAAGAATTGTGTAAGGGTTGGATGCAGTGGTTCATGCTTGTAATCCCAGTATTTTGGGAGGCTGATGCAGGCAGATCACCTGAGGTTGGGAGTTCCAGGTGAGCCTGGCCAACATGGTGAAACCCTGTCTACAAAAAATACAAAAATTAGCTGGGTGTGGTGGCATGTGCCTATAATCCCAAATACTGGGGAGGCTGAGGCAGGAAAATCACTTGAACCCTGGAGGCGGAGATTGCAGTGAGCCGAGATCTTGCCATCACACACATACACAAAAAGTGCACATGGTAAAAAACAATTGGAGAAAACAGATTTACAGTCTTAATGGTGTGAAAATACTGGTTTCTGTGGATAAAAGAAAAGTTTCCAACTCACCTGAAATGGATGGTAGGTTGAGTGTATCCTATTCCCTATGTTTCTGCTTAAATTGAGCGGCTTAACAATTTTTGTTTTAAATTTTTTATTTATTTTTTTGAGACAGTCTCTCGCTCTGTCGCCCAGGCTGGAGTGCAGTGGCACGATCTTGGCTCACTGCAACCTCTGCCTCCTGGGTTCAAGCAATTCTCCTGTCTCAGCTTCTCGAGTAGCTGGGACTACAGGTGCCTGCCAGGCTGGAGTGCAGTGGCACGATCTCAGCTCACTGCAACCCCAGCCTCCTGGGTTCAAGTGATTCTCCTGCCTCAGCCTCTGGAGTAGCTGGGTCTACAGGTGCGTGCTACCACGCCCGGCTAATTTATGTATTTTTAGTAGGGATAGGGTTTCACCATGTTGGTCAAGCTGGTAGTTTTTTGTAGTTTTAGTAAAGACTGGGTTTTACCATGTTAGCGAGGATGGTCTTGATCTCCTGACCTCGTTGTTTGCCTGCCTCGTCCTCCCAAAGTGTTGAGATTATAGGCATGGGCCATCGTGCCTGGCCTGAGCACCTTTACTTTAAGGATTTTAAAATTATATATATTCTTGGTGGCACGGTGGCTCGGTGGCTCATGCCTATAATCCCAGCACTTTGGGAGGCCGAGGCGGATGGATCACGAGGTCAAGAGATCGAGACCATCCTGGTAAAAATACAAAATTTAGCTGGGCATGGTGGTGCGCGCCTATAGTCCCAGCTACTCAGGAGGCTGAGGCAGGAGAATTGCTTGAACCCAGGAGGCGGAGGTTGCCGTGAGCCGAGATCTCGCCATTGCACTCCAGCCTGGGTAACGAGCGAAACTCCGTCTCAAAAAAAAAACCGTGTGTGTGTGTGTGGTGTGTGTGTGTGTGTGTGTATATGTATTCTTTAATGTGAAGATGTTGTGATTCCCGTTTTTGGTTATTAGCACACCAAAAAATGGGAAATGAATTGCAAATTGAAAGCATAGAACTAAGCTTCTTATAAAGCTAGATAATTAGAAACACAGAGGATCTATAAACTGGATTGGGCATGGGGAGTACAATATCCTGGGTGTTTTTTTTTTTTTTTGAGACAGAGTCATGCTCTTTATCCAGGCTGGAGTGCAATGGCATGATCTCTGCTCACTGCAACCTCTGCCTCCTGGGTTCAAGCCATTCTCCTGCTTCAGCCTCTCAAGCAGCTGGAATTACAGGTGCCTGCCACCGTGCCCTGCCAACTTTTTTTTCTATTTTTGTTCTTTTTATACTGCATAGAGAACAAGCCCTGCCAATTTTTTTATTTTTAGTAGAGAAGGGGTTTCACCATGTTGGCCAGGCTGGTCTCAAACTCCTGATCTCAGGTGATTTTCCTGCCCCGGCTTTCCCAAAGTGCTGGGATTACAGGCGTGAGTCACCATGCCTGGCTATCTCCTGGATGTTTTTTTCTTTTCTTTTTTTTTTTTTTGAGACGGAGTTTCAGTCTTGTTACCCAGGCTGGAGTGCAATGGCGCGATCTCGGCTCACCGCAACCTCCGCCTCCTGGGTTCAGGCAATTCTCCTGCCTCAACCTCCTGAGTAGCCAAGATTACAGGCACGCGCCACCATGCCCAGCTAATGTTTTGTATTTTTAGTAGAGACGGGGTTTCACCATGTTGACCAGGATGGTCTCGATCTTTTGACCTCGTGATCCACCCGCCTCGGCCTCCCAAAGTGCTGGGATTACAGGCTTGAGCCACCGCACCCGGCCCCATTTTTTTTTTTTTTTTAACAGAACAATTGAACTATGTTAGGCTTAAGAACCAGGAAGTTGGGCAGGCACTGTGACTCATTCCTGTAATCCCTGTACTTTTGGAGGCTGAGGCAGGTGAATCACGAGGTTAGGAGATCGAGGCCATCCTGGCTAACACGATGAAACGCCATATCTACTAAAAATACAAAAAATTAGCTGGACGTGTTGGCATGGGCCTGTAGTCCCAGCTACTCGGGAGGCTGAGGCAAGAGAATTGCTTGAAACTGGGAGGCGGAGGTTGCAGTGAGCCGAGATCGTGCCACTGCACTCCAGCCTGGGCAACAGAGCGAGACTCCGTCTCCAAAAAAAAATAGAACCAGGGAGTTACTCTGTGGGGTTACGGACTTAACCAAAATATTTCCTAGCCCTTTAGAGGAACTTTGAGTTTTCTGTCCTTTGTCCTTTCCTGCTATCCTCTCCCCTTCCCCTGTTTGAGTTTATTTGCTTGCTTTATGGCTGTTAGGACGTTAATCAAACAATCTTGTATTGCCCAGAAATTTTTAATTTTAATATACCATTGTTCATACTTAAGTTCATCACTGGTGAAATTACCATGTTGATTATAGATAGCCTCAGAGGGAATATTTTAAAAAATGTTTTAAAATTGTAAACATATATAATTACGTATGTAGTTAAACATATATGATTTTACTCTTTTAACCTATGTATTTATATATGTAAATGGTGGGTAGGTAGAGATGGGGTCTTGCTATGTCATCCAGGCTGGTCTTGAATTCCTGGCCTCAAATGATCCTCCCACCTCAGCTTCCCAGCGTGTAGGTGTGAGCCAGCACACCTGGCAGTTTTTAAGTGTACAAATTGGTGGTGTTATGAACATTTACCATGTTGTGCAGCTGTCACCACTTTCTGTTCCAGAACTTTTTCATCAACCTAAACAGAAACTTTGTACTTTTTAAACAGTAACTCTCTCCTTTCCCTTTCCCCTGTTCCCTACTGTTATCCTTTTATCTTTTCTACTTTGTTTCTATGAATTTTCCTGGGAATTTTTTTTTCCCCCGAGACAGGGTCTGCCTCTGTCACCCAGTTTAGAGTGCAGTGGCGCAATCTCAGCTCACTGCAGTCTCTGTTCCCTGGGCTCAAGGGATCTTCTCACCTCAGCCTCTGTAGTATCTGGGACTACAGGTGTGTGCCATCACGCCTGGCTAATTTTTGCAATTTTTGTAGAGACGGGATTTCACCGTGTTGCCCAGGCTGGTCTTGAACTCCTGGGCTCAAACAATCCACCTGCCTCGGCCTCCCAAAGTGCTGGGATTACAGGAGTGGTGGCCAGAATTTTTTAATCCACTATACTGGTCTGTGTTTTACACTTGGCAGGAAAAGCTCTTGGTGCTTTTGGATCTTGTTTCATTTGTTGGACATTCTAGTAAAAAAAAAATTTTTTTTTAAATTAAAGGTAGGCAAGGGTTGAGGGAGACAGCAGATAATTGCTTTAAAGTTTGCTGAAAAACATGCTAACTTTATTATTGTTACCCTTTTCTCTTTTTTTTCCTAGGACTTGGATGTTGTGGGTGATGGTATGCAGTGTCCTCCTTCACCTTTGCTTTTTGATCCTTCACTAACCCTTGAAGATCATTTAGTCAAAGAAATTGCTGAAGACCCAGTGGATATTTTGGCAAGTGAAGAACAATTCTCTCATGTAGTGACCTGGCCAGGCAGAGGGTTCCCTGCTGGCTAGCATGTACTCCTGGAGGGGAATGGGGTGTTATCACTAGTATAAAGATGCTCCACTATGGCTCTCGCTCATTGAATACCATATAAGCAAAGCACTTTAGAGAAAGCTCCACTCTGCTCCTGAATACCCTTGTTGCTGTAGTTCTCCAGATGGGCTTAGACTACCTAATGGCCCCCGATCCTCATATCCCAGAGTAGGACATAAATTTATTTAAATAAAAGCTTGAGACAAGTAATCTGGGTAAATTGTACCTTCTGAGGGAGAGTTCAGCACTGAAATTGGTCTCATTGTAGAAGGACCAGTAATGTAATGTGATTTGAGTTGTTTCTGTGGACTTTGGGTAGAATTCCAGTGGCCCTGACTGAAGACCAGCAGTTGTACTATAGCTGATGGTTTCAAACAGAGGCCTAAAGGACTATCTTCCTGTGGTCTGTTGGCTGTTCTGGGACCTCAGCAGGGAATGGCTATTTCATTTGGAAGAAACAGCCTACAGCTCTCCATCCCATTGGAATATCCTCAACAACGGGCTCTTCCAAGGGACAGGAATAGCTAATATAGGGAAGAACATCTGCCCAGAATTAATTTATTTCTGCCGTATTGTTCTTATTGCTAGTATAAGTGGCCATTGATAAGTCAGATTAATACTTCAGACCACAGTGAATGAATTTCTAACTGCAGTGCCTTTTTTTAACAGGGCCAGATGCAGATGGCTGGAGATGGGTGCAGATCCCTGGGATCTCGAAATTCTGAGAAGGCTTCTGCACCATTGTCTCAGAGTGGATTGGCTACTGCAAATGGGAAGCCAGAACCCACTTCTATTAGTTGATAGTTTTGGGAACCATTTTACTTTGGCAGATTTAAATTTCTCATTCTTCAAAGAAGTATTTCTGATCATCTCTCACAAAACACAGGCAACTCAACTACCTTGTTTTTCTTCTGGATTGAGTATTACAGTCAGACATAAAACCAAATTTTGAGGGAATAGACTGATACTTTTGAAAAGTTGTGGGTTTTTTGGGAAGACAAAGAGCTTTGATAATCCTTATCAAAGCTTCTGGGATTATTTGGGACTATACCTAAAAGGAAAGAGACATCTTTGTAATGGGATTTCCAAAGTCATAGATAGAAATCCACTTAAGTAGCTAGGTGGGAGCTGTCTTTGTGAGTGGTGTCCTTGAGATAGTGATGGCCCTAATATCTGGTTATCTCTATCTAAAGGCCTTGCAGTTCAGCGTTTCTTTACCTCTACTTAATTGAGCAGTCTTGAACCCCTTTCCCTGGTGAATTCTGGCTTTTATCCTCTGAGAAAATAGCCCACAGGACTGTGTCCTCCTTATCCATCTTGCTTTTAACCTATGTAAATTTCTGTGGTGGCTATCTTATGTAAAATAGAGTAAAAATTTATTGTATATAGTTTCTATTAAATGTTAAAGAAAATGTTATGAAAATATCAATCACCTGAATTGAATGCATGTTTGTTTGAGAGTATAGTATTTTTTACGGTTTTAGGGACCTATCTGATGGGAAAGGGAAGTTGGGACAGATAATACTTGCATCCCAGGAAGTAAACTTTCAGTAGCTCATTTTGGTTTTGCTTTGAAGGAAGAAGTAAAAGAAAAGGGCAGGACTTATTAAAGCCACTCAGTCCCAAATATCTTTCTTCTTTTTACCCTCCTCTCTCTGTCCCCTACACCCACTCCCATTTCTCACAATGCCAATGCCATCTGCCGGGCGTGGTGACTGATGCCTGTAATTCCAGCACTTTGGGAGGGTGAGGTTTGTGAGCTATCACTTGAGCTCAGGACTTCAAGACTAGCCTGGGGAACATAATGAGACTCTGTGTCTATACTTTTAAATTTTAAATAATTATTTAAAAAAAATAATGATAGGCTGGGTGTGGTGGCTCAGGCCTATAATCCCAGCACTTTGGGAGGCCAAGGTGGGCGGATCATGAGTTCAAGAGATTCGAGACCAAGAGATTGGAGACCATCCTGGCCAACATGGTGAAACCCCGTCTCTACTAAAAACACAAAAATTAGCTGGGCCTGGTGGTGCATGCCTGTAATCCCAGCCACTTGGGAGGCTGAGGCAGGAGAATCCCATGAACCTGGCAGGCAGAGGTTGCAGTGAGCTGAGATTGTGACACTGCACTCCAGCCTGGTGACAGAGTGAGGCTCCATCTTAAAAAAAAAAAAAAAAATGCTATCTCATAATTCTTTAGTGGTAGAAATATACTTAAAACAGAGAAATTGGGGCCGATGCTGGATCACTAAGATAGACATAGAATGTCAAGATGGTTTTGACGCTGAATCTTACAGCGGGGTTAAAATAGAAGTTTAGTTAGGGTTGAGGCACCTACACTAGCAATCGTGTATTTCTACGCTGCATTATGACAAAAAGCCCAAAAGATTAGATTACTTTCTATAAGAACTGAAATGGGCACAGAATAGTTTACATAGTTACACCATCATCTTTAAGTATTTCATTCAGGAATAGACGAAAGTAACTCATAAAAGGCTCATCAGATGATGAACCCCTAGGGAGATTGCCTTCACTAGGTCTTCCAGTGATACTGTTTTTCAGTTTGTAGTTCACTGCTTTTTTGATCCCATGGTCTAGTATTATTTTTATTTTATTTTGAGATGGAGTCTCGCTCTGTCTCCCAAGTGATTCACCTGCCTCAGCCTCCCAAAGTGCCAGGATTACAGGCGTGAGCCACCACGTCCAGCCTAGACTAGTACATTTTACACTTTATCCATAAAGATAAACATTGTTTCTTTTTATTTATGTGTTTATTTATATTTGAGATGGGATCTTACTCTGTCACGAAGGCCGTAGGGCAGTGTCATGATTATAGTTCACTGTAGTCTCGAACTCCTGAGCTCAAGCCATTTTCCTGCCTCAGCCTGTTAAATCGGACTTAAGTGCCATATCATGCCTAAGACAGACGCTACTTTTTTTTTTTTAAAGACTGTCCTGTTCTTGTCCGCTAGGCTGGAGTGCAATGGCACAATCTCGGCTCACTGCAACCTCCACTCCTGGCCTCAAGCAATCCACCTACCTCAGCCTCCCAAAGTGCTGGGATTTATAGGTGTGAGCCATCGTGCCCAACCCTAATTGATTTTTAAAAGACTAAAAACAATGTTGTGCTTCTAGGATTGAATAAAAATACTCCACATCCAAAGCTCTGTCAAAAGAAGTGCCCTAAAGAAAAAAATTGACTTTCCCTTTTTTTTTTTTTTTTTTTTTTTTGAGACTTTCGCTCTTACCAGCCAGGCTGGAGTGCAGTGTCGCCATCTCGGCTCACTGCAACCTCCATCTCCCTGGTTCAAGTGATTCTCCTGTCTCAGCCTCCCAGGTAGCAGGGAATACAGGTGCCTGCCACCATGTGGAGTGCAGTGGTGTGATTTTGATCTCAGCTCACTGCAACCTTTGCCTCCAGGGCTTAAGCAATTCTACGTCAGCCTCCTGAGTAGCTGGGATTACAGGCATGTGCTACCACGCCCAGCTAATTTTTTTGTATTTTTAGTAGAGACGGGGTTTCACCATGTTGATCAGTTTGGTCTCAAATTCCTGAGCTCACATGATCCTCCCGCCTCAGCCTCCCAAAGTGTTGGGATTACAGGTGTGAGCCACTGCGCCCGGCCAACTTTTATTTCTTAAGTGCATAGTAAACGTCCACAAAAAATATGTATGCACTCTTAACTTTGATGATTTTATGTAAGGAGCAGAAAGGAGTGGCATTAGATTTTGATTAAGGATCTGTTTATATTAGTTACTGGTTGGATTGTTCTGCGTGGGAACTTTAGATTCCCTCCCTGGGTTTGTAATGGGACAAAGGATAGGGCCTCTTCTAAATCTCCCTTCTGGGTAACTAACCATGAAATTAGGGATCAGTAAACATTTTAACCAACTGTAATACCAGTCACCAAGGGTGGTACAGAATCTGCATCCACACAATGAAGAATCGTGCTAATTAAGGAGGGTTAGGGTTTGTGGTGGGAGAGTAAAGAGGACTCTTTGGAGAAGTACTGGAGTGAGAAAGTATTTGTCAGTGCCTTTGCTGTGTCATAAACTACCCCAAAACTCAGTGGCTTACAATAGCATTTATTTTCTTGCTCCTGGGTCTAGTGGATTGCTCATGGGTTGGGGTGGGGAGGAGACTCTACTTCAGGAGCCAGAATTTGGGTTGAGATCAGATCTTTTCCAAATGTTTCATTCTGGGATGTGGGTAGATGGAAAGTGCAGCTCTCTTCTGGCAATCACAGAAGCACAAGAGGCCAAATGACACCAGGCAAGCACATTTTTCATTTACTTGTGTCTTATCTGCCAACATTTCATTGGCTAAAAGCAGGTTGCATGGCCAAATTCAACCTTGATGTAGTGGGGAAATAATACCCTGTCCAATATGTGGTCTGGAAGATCACATGAAGGAGATAAGGAATTGGGAATAATAATTCATTCTATCCAAGGAAGACAGGATTTTTTTTTTTTTTTTTTTTTTTTTGAGACAGTCTTGCTCTGTTGCCCAGACTGGAGTGCAGTGGCACACTCTTGGTTCACTGCAACTTCCGCCTCCTGAGTTCAAGCTATTCTTGTGCCTCAGACTCCTGAATGTTAGGGACAAGCTGTACAAGCTGACCCCTTCTCCCCAGTCTGATTGCTGGGCAGCTGCATTTCTGAACCCCTACCTAGGTGCCACATCAAGACTGCCAGACATGCTACAATTAAGCAAAGCCTGATTATAGCCGTCTGGGCATTTCACGGGAGGACGGGGAAAACATATATTGGTTATCCATACTTATAAATTCCTGTTTGACACATATCTGTAAAAAAATTCCTGGTTTTTCTCTTTTTTTAAAAGACTATCATTACAAAACTCACAGGATAATGTACTGTAGGTCTGTTACAAGTTAACAAACTATCTTTGTGCCTGTTAACAGCGAATAGATGACCTTAGTGCTGAAACTCCCTTATGCCCCTCTCACCCTATATAACAGCCCCTGGTTTTGTAAGTCCAGGGCTGCCTCCTCTGACTGGTACAGAGCAGCCTGGCAGGTTAATAAAACTTTCTTGCCTGACTTTTGGTCTATTCTCCTTTCTCTTGGCTACCCTTATACCGAGTAGCTGCAGTTACAGGCATGCACCACCACACCCAGCTAATTTTTGTATTTTTATTAGAGACAGGGTTTCACCATCTTGGCCAGGCTGGTCTCAAACTCCTGACCTCAAGCGACACCTGCCTAGGGCCTCCCAAAGTGCTGGGATTGCAGGTGTGAGCCACCACACCTGGCCACCACCTTGCTGCTTTTATTTTATTTATTTTTTCTTCTTTTTTTTTTTTTCTTTTTTTTTAAGACAAGGGCTTCACCATGTTGGTCAGGCTGGTCTTGAACTCCCGACTTCAGGTGATCCACCCGCCTTGGCCTCCAAAGTGCTTGGATTACAGGTGTGAGCCACCACTCCCGGCCTTGCCTTGCTTCTTTTAAATTTTGTGTATCTCTATTGCCAGATCATGCCATGGATTACCAGTGCTCTCATTACTACTGAACATTAGCATCTTTAGGTCAAAACAAATTCGACTAGGTATGATTCTAAGTGGAATCATACAGTATGACTGACTTTTGTGACTGACTTATTTCACTTGGATTAATGTTTTTAATGTTCATCCATATGTCAGAATTTCCCTCCTTTTTATTTTTATTTTTCTATTTTGAGGCAGGCTCTTGCTCTGTCATCCAGGCTGGAGTGCAGTGGCATGATCATAGCTTGCTGCAACCTTGACCTGTTAGGCTTAAGAGGTCATTCCAGGTCAGCCTCCCAAGTAACTGGGACTACTGGTGTCCATCACCACAACAGGCTAATATTTTTTTTTTTTTTTTTTTTTTTTTTTTTTTGGGTACAGATGGCTTCTTACTATATTGTCTAGGCTGGTCTCAAACTCTTGGGCTCAAGTGATCCTCTCACCTTGGTCTCTCAAAACTGCACCCAGCTTTGCTTCCTTTTTTTCACCCAAAGGTATTTGCTATCTACCTTCCTTCCTTTTTAAGACTGTATAATATTCCATTATACATATACATCACATTTTAGTACCCATTTATCTGTCAATGGACATTTGAGTTACTTCCACATATTGGCTCTTCAGATTAATGTTACTATGAGCATGAGTGTACAATTATCTGTTTTGTTTTTTTGAGACAGGGTCTTACTCTGCTGCTCAGGCTGGAGTGCAGTGGCATGATCTTGGCTCATGGCAGTCTCCTCATCCTGGGTTCAAGGGAACCTCCTGCCACAGCCTCCTGAGTAGCTGGGAGTACAGGCACTTGCCGCCATGCTGACTAGTTTTTATATTTTTTGTAGAGATAGGGTTTTGCAATGTTGCCTAGGCTGGTCTGGAACTCCTGAGTTCAAGCCATCTGCCTAAAGTCCTGGGATTATAGGCGTGAGCCACTGCGCCTGGCCAAATATCTGTTAAAGACCCTGCTTTCAATCCTTTTGGGTATATATCCAGAAATGGAATTACTGGATCATATGGACATTCCATTGTTAATATCTGAGGGATTGCCATACTGTTTTCCCTAGTGGCATTTTACATTCCTGTTATCAATGGACAAGGGTTCCAGTTTCTCCATATCCTTGCCAACATTTGTTATGTTATTCCTTTAATGTTGTTGGTTTTAATTGCCAGAAGTTTGTTTAGAAATTTTGCATTTATGTTCGTGAGCAATTATTGATCTGTAGTTTCTCTTTTCTTAATTTTTTTTTTTTTTAAGATGGGGTTTCACCATCATGGCCAGGCTGGTCTTGAACTCCTGACCTCAGGTGATCCACCCACCTCGGCCTCCCAAAGTGCTAGGATTACAGGCGTGAGCCACCACGCCCGGCCCTCTCTTTTCTTTATTTTTTTGGGATGGAGTCTTACTCTGTCACCCATGCTGGAGTGCCGTGGCACTATCTTAGCTCACTGCAACCTCCATCTCCTGAGTTCAAGCGATCCTCCTGCCTTAGACTGCCGATTACAGGCTGGGATTACAGGTGCCCGCCACCATGCCTAGCTACTCTTTTTTTTTTTTTTTTAATAGTTTTAGTAGAAACAGAGTTTCACGATGTTGCCAGGCTGGTCTTAAACTCCTGACCTCAAGTGATCCACCCACTTCAGCCTCCCAAAGTGTTGAGATTACAGGTGTGAGCCACTGCACCCGGCTGACGTTATGTTTCTTTCTTTTTTTTTTGAGATGGAATCTCACTTTGTTGTCAGGCTGGAGTGCAGTGGTGTGATCTTGGTGCACTGCAACCTCTGCCTCTGGGTTCAAGCGATTCTCCTGCCTCAGCCTCCTGAGTAGCTGGGACTATAGGTACATACCACCATGCCCAGCTAATTTTTGTATTTTTTTAAAAGTAGAGATAGGGTTTCACCATGTTGGTCAGGATGGTCTCGATCTCTTGACCTCATGATCTGCCCACCTTGGCCTCCCAACATGCTGGGATTACAGGCATGAGCCAGTGAGCCTGGCCATGCAGTTTATTTTCTTACAATATCTTTATCTGGGTTTGGCATGATAGTAATGCTGGTTTCTTAGAATTATTGCCTCTTTTCCAATTTTTGAAGAAGTTCCTGTAGAATTGGTATTTTTTCTTTATTAATGTTTGGTAAAATTCCCCAGTGAGGTTTTTTAACAGTTTCAGTTTCTTCAATAGCTAGAAGACTAGGTTATCTGTTCCTCTTTTGAGGTTTGGTAATTTGTGTCTTTCTAGAAATTGTCTATTACATCTAAGTTGTGGCATTTATAATCATAAAGTTCATAATCATTTTTTTTTTAAATATAGAATGAGGGCTGGGACTAGGGTGAGGCAAGTGAGACAGCGGTGGTGCAAAACTTAAGGAGGCACTCACTCTTAGGATTGTGCAAAGTGACCCCTTTAATTTTACCTCCTAAGTGTCCTGCTCACCTTACTCTTGTCCTGTTTTGATAATCTGCATTGTAGTTCAGTGTAGATATTGGTAGGCCGTGTCTTCTTTTTTCCCCTTGTTAGTCTGACTAAAGTTCTTTGTTTTGTTCTGTTGCCCAGGCTGGAGTGCAGTGGCACTATCATGGCTCACAGCGGCCTCAATCACCTGGGTTCAGGCAGTCCTCCCCCTTCACCCTTCTGTGTAGCTGGGACAACAGGTGTGTGTCATCACACTCGGATAATCTTTTAATTTTCTCTAGAGACAAGGTCTCACTTTGTTGTCTAGGCTGGTCTTGAACACCTAGCCTCAAGCTGTCCTCCAGCCTTGGCCTCTCAAAGTGCTGGGATTACAGGCATGAGCCACTGCACCTAGCCTAAAGTACTATTAAATGTATTGATCTTATTAAAGCAACAGCATTTAAAAAATTATGATTATACTTTAAGCTCTGAGATACATATGCAGAACATACAGGTTTATTACATAGGTATACATGTGACATGGTGATTTGCTGCACCCATCAGCCTGTCATCTACATTAGGTATTTCTGCTAATGCTACCCCTCCCCTAGCCCCCCACCCAGCTTTTGTTTTTATTAATATTTTTCTATTTTTCTGTTTTCTAATTCAGTGATTTCCACTTTGATTTTTTTTTTTTTTTTTTTTTTTTTTTTTGTTTGAGACGGAGTTTCACTCTTGTTACCCAGGCTGGAGTGCAATGGCGCGATCTCGGCTCACCGCAACCTCCGCCTCCTGGGTTCAGGCAATTCTCCTGCCTCAGCCTCCTGAGTAGCTGGGATTACAGGCACGCACCACCATGCCCAGCTAATTTTTTTGTATTTTTTTTTATTAGAGACGGGGTTTCACCATGTTGACCAGGATGGTCTCGATCTCTTGACCTCGTGATCCACCCGCCTCGGCCTCCCAAAGTGCTGGGATTACAGGCTTGAGCCACCGCGCCCGGTGATTTTTTTTTTTTTAAATTTTACTCATAGGTAGTAGAACACTTGGATCCACTTTGATTCTTCCTTTCTTCTGCCTACTTTGAGTTTCATTTGTTCTTTTCCTTTTTTTTTTTTTTTTTTTTTTTAACGGAGTCTCATTCTGTCACCCAGGCTGGAGTGCAGAGTGTAATGGCACAATCCCAGCTCACTGCAACCTCTGCCTCCCAGGTTCAAGCGATTCTCCTGCCTCAGCCTCCTGAGTAGCTGGGATTATAAGCATGCACCACCATGCCTGGCTACTTTTTGTATTTTTGGTGGAAATGGATTTCACCACGTTGGCCAGGCCGGTCTCGAACCTCAAGTGATCCGCCTCCCTTGGCCTCCCGAAGTGTTGGGATTACAGGCATAAGCCACTTTGCCTGGCCTGTTGTGCCATTTTATAAAAAGGAGTTGATCATCGACAGATTTTGGTGTGGTGGGAGTGGTGTCAGGAACTAGTCCTTCATGGATACCGAGAGACAATGGTATGAATTCATTAATTTTTTTCAACTAATATTTATGGAATGTCTATAGTGTTTAGGCTCTCAACTAGGCAGGAGATTTTGATCCCTACCCAATTGCAACTGGAAAATACATTTACCTCATTTTGTTAGACATCCACCTTCAGTCTTACAGTCTCCATCTTTTTATTGTAATGGTCTCTAGTCCATCAGACTTTGAGGAAGGGCTAAGCTGAAATCAATCCAGGAAGAAGTCAGAAGTTGTCCTGTCCCCCTCAGTGAGTGTGTCCTGGAATGAGCTGTCCCCTGAGCCTGTGCAGAGCCCCCTCACCTCTTGGTTCTTGAGGCTGTGGATGATGGAGTTGACCATGGGAATGAATGGCATGTATAGGACAGAGAAGACCTTTTAAAGCAAGGGGGACATGTGGTCTGTTGGGGCCACATAGACCAGGATGAGGGTGCCATAAAATACCCCAACTATGCTGAGGTGGGAGGAACAGGTGAAGAAGGCTTTCTGCCTCTCATGGCTTGATTGTATTTGCAGTACAGGCCTCAGAATAAAGGCATAGGATGCCACCATCAGTAGGAAGGGAGCCAGTGTCAGGAAGCCTGAGATGCTGACTTCAGCTCCCCCACATGACTCCCCACAGAATGGCCCTACTACTATTGGGGCAAAGTCACAGGAATAGTGGTCAACCTCCCTCTCTGCCAGGACAGAGGTGCTGCCAGGGCCAGAGTGAAGGCAGAGGAGAAAAAGCCACTGAACCAAGCACTAGTGGCCAGGCAACTACAAAACCAGGTGCTCATCAGGGCAGGATAGTGAAAGGGGCGTCAGATGGCCAAGTAACTGTCATAGGACATGGCAGAGAGTAGGAGGCACTCAGCTGCAGCCAGCGAGGAAACATGTAGAACTGGGCCAGATAGCTGACTAGTGAGATGACTTCCCTCCCCTCCAGAAAACTCTGCAACGGCTGCAGTATGATGTGCAATCTCCAGCTGGGAGGAGTGGCAGAGGAGGAAGCACATTGGTGTGTGGCGTGTCTGACTAGAGGCCACAGCCAGCACCATGAGGGCATTGCCCCTGATTGTCACCACATTAGATGGCCAGGAAGAGAGTGAAGGGAAGGAAGCCCAGGTGTTGCAGCTCCCCGGAGCCCACTAGGATCAGCCAGGTAGTCTGGTTCCCACTGTCACCACTGGACTGCTGCTGCTTCCAGTTCTGATCTCAAAAGAAGGAAGCTCGTTAATATTATCTAAGATCCTATTATGGGCACACTCCATGCTTGGTTATCCATTTATTCATCACAGCACACATTGGAGACAGGCCTTATTGTCTCCCAGCTGTGGAAGAGAAACAGACCTGGTTTGTTCAAGTCAATTATTCATTGTCATCATGATGGAGTCATGATGTGAAACCGGGTTTGCCTGACTCTAAGGCTCCTGAATGGTCTGCTGTTCTACAGTGCTTTCTCAACCTGTTCTACCCACCTTTCTGTTTTTTTTTGAGATGGGGGCTTACCCAGATTAAGAGTGCAGTGGTGCAGTCACAGCTCACTGCAGCCTCGACTTCCTGTGCTCAAGCCATCCTCCCGCCTCAGCCTTCCAAGTAGCTGGGACTATAAACACATGCCACCATGCTTGGCTACTTTAAAAACTTTTTTTTTTTTTTTTTTTTTAAATAGAAGGCCAGGTGCGGTGGCTTATGCCCATAATTCCAGCACTTTGGGAGGCCGAGGTGGGCGGATCACAAGATCAAGAGATCAAGACCATCCTGGCCAACATGATGAAGCCTCGTCTCTACTAAAAATATAAAAATTAGCTGGGCATGGTGGCATGCGTCTATAGTCCCAGCTACTCAGGAGGCTGAGGCAGGAGAATCGCTTGAACCCAGGAGGTGGAGGTTGTGGTGAGCCGAGATCATACCACTGCACTCCAGCCTGGAGACAGAGTGAGACTGCATCTCAAAAAACAAATAAACAAAAACAAACAAATAGAAATGAGGTCTCCTTATGTTGTCCATGCTGATCTCAAATTTCTAGGCTCAAGTGATCCTCTCAAAGTTCTGGGATTATAGGCATGAGCCACTGGACCCAGCCCCAAATCCTTTTTAAGTGATAGAAATGTCAAAATTAGAGAGCAGCGTAACATTCTTCCAGTCGGCAGGGAGCTATTTACCTGGCAGTCGTGGCTGGGCACCAACAGGAGGACCACAAGTGGTGAACTGTGGAAGGGTGGGAGGTGCGCCCATCGCCTCCAGGGGAGTTTGTCCTACTCTGAAGTCAGGCACATCCCTGAGGCTGCCACTCATCTCAGACTATTTTTTCTTTCCAAGAAAGCGTCACTTGGAAATCCAGATGAGCAATCTATAGTATCTGTTCAGTGAGATATGCAACACAGAAAGGTCTGAATTAACCCAGATCCCTCTCCCCTGGGAAACCACTCTTTCTCCTTGAACAGGTGTCCTGGTGACCCTTGGTAAAGCCATTTCCAAACTTTGCCCAATCTCTGATCAGTTTGTTGGAATCTGGAAACACTCTGTTTTTCTTGGTTCTCCTGCCTTATATTTTCCATACAGGTCAAATGCTCCGTTTATCTTAACTAACTGTGGGTTCTTTGGAAACTTCTATTCTGATGTAGGTTTCCTTCTCTCAGTTATTGCAGCACTACTTTCACACCAAATGCATAGGAGGACCTTGTGGAATGAATAAATGAATTCCAACAGCAAATTGCCATGAAAAACTTGCAGCATCTGACAGTTAATGCTAGAGTCGGACAAAGAGACGTTTATGTGACTACGAAAAGAGGAGGAGGAATCATTGGTCATCCCCTATAGTTGAGGGAATATTGGAAGCTTGAGATGGAATCATGAATAAGAATGGATATGGAAGTCAAAAAATGTGTGTGTGTGTAGGAGGAAGAAACCAGAAAGCTCAATGTGATAGAGACTTTTCTCACTTTTGAAATTAAGAAAGATGACATCTCACATTAGCAGATGGCAATGAGAACAGAGGGTTTTTGTGTTTCTGGCCTGATTCTACCTTTCCTCTGGCTTTGGGCTTACATCATGCAGACCCACATTCAGTTATATGGGGATACAGACACAGAACAATGTTTTCATATGTATTTGAACATATTCTGTCCTCTATATACTAATGATTTCTTAAAGAGCCAAGAAGTGACTGGAATTGAGAGTGAAATAGGATTCTGGGTTTAGCAGAGAGATGGAGCAAAGGAAGAAACTAATGAAACTAACCAAATCAACCAACTAGTCAACTGACCTGAAACTTCTTAAGTCCACTCTGAGCCAATGCTTATGATTACAAAGTTAGAAGCACTGCCCTTGCTGACCAGGGAATTTTACTTTGGTCCCTGGTAAAATTCTCAAATAGATGCTTTATAGACTAGCTGGAAGTCCCGTAAGGGATCACCAGGATCTTTGTAATGCTGATCCTAATGTAAAACCTCATATGATGTCTTTTACTGACAGTATTAATACTTAAACAATTAAGAGAAAGGGGCAGAGAAAGGGCGTATTAATCTTAGTAAAGATTCACAGAAAGGATGATGACTGTGTGGTTAGAGATAATGCTTTTAGTTTGGTTACCATACACCAAAATTACTCATCAATAACTAAAAAGCTGAAGAAATCTGTCTACTGAAAAGGAGAAGGTGTAGATCTTATCTTCGTCACCTATTTTTAGCAATAACTTCAATAGTCATAGTAAATATACATGGCGCGTCAAACTTCAGATGATATGAAACAGAGGGAAAGTCAATATTATCGGTGACAATTGTAATTCAAAATAATCTTGCCTTTGGAATGCCAAACTAAAAACAAAATGGAATTTAACAGAGGCACATATAAACTCTGCATGTAGATTTTAACAACCGGTTACACAAGTATAGGAAGGGTAAGACCCAATTTAGTAGTCATTTATGTGAAAATAATTTAGGCTTATTGTTGACCATCATCAATCAGGGCTTGAAAACTGTGAAATACAAGGGATGTATGAAGAATGTAGGGATGTTGAATCTGGAAAAGGCAAAATGAATGGAAGAATATGATAACTGTTTTCAAATATTCAAGAGACTCTTATAAAGAAGAGAGATTATATTTAGTCTACAGAACAAGGACCAAGGGTGTGGTGGTGCTGGAAAACCCAGGACTACTCATCTGTGCTGGCTTCCTAGAGGTGATTCTTAAGGGGCTAACTATTGTTATTTACTGCATTTTTGGGGGGGTATGAAAATAAGATAAGGCTCAGGGGACAGGGTCAGTGCGGGTGAAATGGAATTTCTCCCCGGAACCTCCAGAAGTTTGTTGGCAAATATGGGCCTCATCCACAGGAACCTCCTGGAGCAAACATTTAAAAAATATGATAAGCTCTTTTCCATATGTTTAGGTTGGGTCAGTGGTGGTCCTCTCTGTAGGCAGAGAGTAGTGTTGACCCAGATGAACTCCAGATGCTGAGGCTCGGTGTAGACGGGGGCAGACCTGCTCTGGGCTTGGAGTCAGCTTCTCTCCTGGACATCTTTACCTCTAGACTAAATTTTTCTGCCAGCTGGCAGCTCTGCAGACTTTCTGTGAGCCCTTCAGGATAAACTCGTTGTAAATATACTTATAGATGACTACAGGAACTAGTATTCTCAATAAGGCTGTTAGGTAAATCCAGTAAGATGTTGGACAATATGTAATAAAAACAAAGTTTGGCTTTGGAATAACTGATCACCCTGAGCCATCCTTCATGAAGATAATTAGAAAACCAAGCTAATTGTCTTTCAAGACTAGTCTTAGATCATGATAAAAAACATATGTGAACAATACATACACATTATAATAACTCTGCTGTTAAAATTTATTTCTAGCTTTTTATATGCACTTTTTATATAGCTATAATTATTATCATATGTACAATTTGAATCCTGATGTTTTACCTAGTATTTTATTATAAGCATGTTATATATCGCACATTAAAAATAATGATATAATAATCATTATGTAGCTCTAGCAGAATTTGCCTAACCATTTTTTTCATGGAATCTTTGGGTTGGGAGTGACTGTAAACTATATATAGGCCAACATTTCACTAAGAGGGGAGGTTATTTGTTCTCTTTATATATATTTTAACTGAAAAGAAGACAGTATCTTTTTAGGGCATCTCAGTGTTTCAACAAATTAAAAATTTAAAAACTTTATTTATTTTAACATTATTTGGGCAATGAATCATAGTTGCATACATTTATGGGATACAATTTAATGATATATGTATAAATGTGGCAGAATTAAATCAAGCTAATTAACATATCCATCACTTCACTTACCTATCTTCTTTTTATGGTGGGACATTTGACATTTACATCCTATTTTTATTATTATTATTGACCATATTCACTCCACTGTTGCAATAGATCCCAAGACTTACTCTTTCTACCTGAAACTTTGTACCTTTGATCAACAATTTCCACCCCTCTCCCCAAACTCTGGTAACTCTCCTACTTTCTACTTCTATGACATCAACTTTATTAGATTTTACATGTAAATGAGATCATGAAATAGTTGTCTTTTTGTGCCTGGCTTATTTCACTTAGCATAATGTCCTACAGATTCATTCATGTTGTTGGAAATGATAGGGTGTTCACCACTTTTTTTTAATTCTTCTTGGCAGGCTCAAAACACCCACTTTTAAGGCTGAATAGCATACTATTGTGTATATATGTTACATTTTCTTTATCCATTCATCTGTTGATGGACACTTAGGTTGTTCTCACATCTTGACTATTGTGAATAATGTTGCAGTGAACAGAACACAACTATGCCTTTGACATATTTGTTTCAGTTCCTTTGGATATATATGCAGAAGTGGGACTAATGGGTTGTATGGTAATTCTATTTTTAGTTTTTTGAGGAAACTCCATATCATTTTTCATTACGGGTGTACTAATTTACATTTCCACCATCAATGTATAAGAGTTCCCTTTTCGAAATGCTTCCAGATCCCAAGGACACTCACATCATCATCAGCTGGATGATTGCACAGACTGCCACTGCCATTGCTGGGTTGACTTCCTATCCATTTGACACTGTTCGCTGCCACAGGATGATGCACAAAGGAACTGATACGTACACAGGCATGCTCGACTGCTGGAGGAAGACTGCCTGTGATGAAAGAGGCAAAGATTTCTTCATGGTCCAATGTTCTTAGAGGCATGGGTGGTGCTTTTGTGCTTGTCTTGTGTGATGAAATCAAGAAGTACACCTAAGTTATTTCCTAGAAATTCCCCCTCTGTGAACACGCATGTTGTATTATATAGCGTATCTTGAGCATTCTTGACAGACTCCTGGCTGTCAATTTATCAGTGGCAACTATTTACTGGTTGAAAATGGGAAGCAATAATATTCATCTGACCAGTTTTCTCATAAAGCCATTTCCATGATGATGATGATGATGATGATGGGACTCAATTATATTTTTTATTTCAGTCACTCCTGATAACAAATTTAGAGAAATAAAAAATCTAGGGCCGGGAGTGGTGGCTCATGCCTATAATCCCAGCACTTTGGGAGGCCGAGGCGAGCAGATCACGAGGTCAAGAGATCGAGACCATCCTGGCCGACATGGTGAAACCCTATCTGTACTAAAAATACAAAAAATTAGTTGGTTGTGGTGGCACACACCTGTAGTCCCAGATACTCGGGAGGCTGAGGCAGGAGAATTGCTTGAACCCAGGAGCTGGAGTTTGCAGTGAGCCGAGGTCATGCCACTGCACTCCAGCCTGGTGCCTGGCGACAGAACGAGACTCTGTCTCAAAAAAAAAAAAAAAAAAATTCTTGAGAAAAATAGTTCCCTTTTCTCCACATCCTCTCCAACACTTGTTATCTTTCATCTTTTTGATAAAAGTCATTCTAACAAGTATGAAGCAATATCTCATTGTGGTTTTAATTGTATTTCCCTCATAATTAGTGATGCTGAGCAGTTTTTCATGTATTTATTGGTCATTTATATGACTTTTGAGAAATGTCTGTTCAGGTCCTTTGCCCGTTTTTTAATTGGGTTAACTTATAAATAAACATTTCGGAGCTCCACACATTAGGCTTTATTGGATGATCAAGACATAGGATCTGCCTGCAGATTAACTATGCTACAGTATGGAGTATGTGATGACTACTACAAAAGAGCTATATCGTTTATTGAGAAGGATTAAGAGGCCGGGCGCGGTGGCTCAAGCCTGTAATCCCAGCACTTTGGGAGGCCGAGGTGGGTGGATCACGAGGTCAAGAGATCAAGACCATCCTGGTCAACATGGTGAAACCCCGTCTCTACTAAAACTACAAAAAATTAGCTGGGCACGGTGGCGTGTGCCTGTAATCCCAGCTACTCAGGAGGCTGAAGCAGGAGAATTGCCTGAACCCAGGAGGCGGAGGTTGCGGTGAGCCGAGATCGCGCCATTGCACTCCAGCCTGGGAAACATGAGAAAAACTCATTTAAGACACAAAAAAAAAAAAAAAAAGAAGCATTAAGGGAAGTTAATGGAGAGAGTGGAATATGCACTAGAATTTAAAACATAGTAAAGGTTTTAGAAAGTTAAAAATGAGGGTAAGTGTCTTCAGCTTCCACCCATGGAGGAATGACTGGTACCAGTCTAGTTCTCCTGATGTAAACAACTACAAAATGGACAACATATAAAATATCTGTTTTCAGCTACAGGAAAACATACAGCACAGAACTGTAATCCCTTAGAGAAGGGAAGTAGTTGAGGTGGGCCCTCATCACGTTGGTTTTTCTGTCTTGACACACTTTTCAGACCTGGACTCTGGGAGGAGTAAGTTAAGACAGAGATCAGAGTTTGGAGAGGCAGAGATTGTTTGAATTTGTAGGGCAGAAGAGGAGGGAGGTAGAGTGAGAAATAATTTCAGAAGCCTATGTAGAAATCTGATGAGACTTTGGCTGAATATTACTAGGAGCTGTAAGTTAAGTAACTGATAGAACTCATACAGAATAGGAGATGTTAGAGTTCCAACCATCCAGGTTGGAGAGATCGCATTGAAAACGGGGCATTCAGCAGATACCTCAGAAAGGTATAAATATAATTAGGTATAGTTATAAATCAGTCCAAAAATAAAAGCTAATCTAGACCTGTTTAACAAAACTAAAAATGAAGCTTGAAATTATTAAGCTGAACCTTAAGTATCTTAACTGTCTACTAGAACAAGGCCAAAACTCTTTAAAGAAGACAACAAAAGGCTGGGCATGGTGGCTCATGCCTGTAATCCCCGCACTTTGGGAGGCTGAGACCAGCCTGGCCAAGATGGTGAAACCTCGTCTCTAAAATATAACAACAGAAAAAAGAAAGACAACAAAATCTAAAATCCAGACACCCAACGACAGAATATCCATAATGTCCAGCATCTAATGAAACAATTAGTAGAAATACAAAGAAGCAGAAAAATGTGACCACTAATCAGAGAAAAATAATAAAGGACATCAGCAAGATGGCAGGTTAAAAAATCCCAGATCCTCTCTTCCATGAGAACATGACCTCAACAATATATAAACCTGCCTGAAAAATCCAGAAACCAGTTAATAGGTTCTTGCACCCTAGCTGAATGTGAAGCCAACCCCATCAAAAGCTAGCAGGAAAATTTGTGGCATTCACTCATCAGAGCCCTTCCCTCTGGCATGGCATGATATAATCTGGAGGAAACCTCCAACTCTTGACTTCTTTCTGGGAAGGCAAAGGAGTGAAATGTAAATCCAACATTCTGACTTTTGGAGGTGCTACTGAGGGAGCTGCCTAAATTTAAGCACTGACCTGGACAGGGCTCAGGTTGGGGCTGGTTAAGAACGAAGGTGATCAAGGTGGTTTGGTCCAGCACCAGAGTCTGCAGTACCATAGACAAACACTAGGTGGAACTCCAGTACCACAGCTTTCTACAGCACCCGACAAGCAGCTGTATTGCAGACACAAGAGCTCCTGAGTAGAAACTGGCAAATGTTTCATCACGTTGGCCAGGCTGGTCTCCAACTCCTGACCTCGTGATCCAAAAAAAAAAAAAAAAAAAAAAAAGAAACTGGCAAATGTGAAGCAAATATACATATCCATCATCTCATGAAGTTACTCATGGTTTTTGTGTTTGTGGCAAGGGCGGCTAAAATCTACTCATTTAGCTTGAATCCTGTAGAGTACAATTTGATCTGTAGGCTTGTTCATTCTACATATCTACCACTTTGCATTCTCTGATGTACATCTTCTCATTTCCTACTCACCCCTGCCCCTGGTAACGAGTGTTTTGTTCTGTAAGAAATGGACTTTAACTATAAATATGAACATGAGACTATGTCATGAAAATGATTATCATAAGAAAGCTGTACTTGTCAAGGAGGCGATTAAAGTAAAGCAACAACAATAACAAAGAAAGCTGTAGTGGTTGTATTAACGTAGGACAAAATAGAGTTCCAAGCAAGACATTTTCTAGGAATAAATAAGGATTTGCATAATGATAACGAGTTGAATTCATCAGGAAGGCAGAACAATAATAGGGCTTCAAAATGAAGCGAATGAGGGAAAAACTGATAGAGCTGAAATGATTACAGTTGGGTATTTCAACATTTTTCTCTCAACCATTATGTGATGAGTAGTCAGAAAATCAGTATGTATGTAGAAAATTTAACATTATCAACCAACTTGATGTGATTGACATTTATAGTACATTTCATAAATAACAGCAAGAAACACATTCTCACCGAAATAGACCATATGATGGGCTATAAATAAGACAATAAATTTCAAAGAATTGGTATAAAGCTGACTATTTTCCATTACTACAAGGGAAGTAAATTAGAAATAAACAACAATAAAATATCCAGAATTTAAGCAACACATTTTTATATTATTATTATAATTTTTTTTTTTTGAGATAAAGTTTTACTCTTGTTGCCCAGGTTGGAGTGCAATGGCATGATCTCAGCTCACTGCAACCTCCCCCTCCTGGGTTCAAGTGATTCTCCTGCTTCAGCCTTCCGAGTAGTTGAGATTACAGGTGTCCACCACCATGCCTGGCTAATTTTTGTATATTTAGTAGAGACAGGGTTTCACTATGTTGACTAGGCTGGTCTTGAACGCCTGACTTCATGTAATCCCCCCAGCTTGGCCTCCCAAATTGATCACAGTCCTGAGCCATCACACCCAGCCATTGTTATGATTTTTTAAGAGACAAGAGTCTCACTCTGTTGCTTAGGCTGGAGTGCAGTGGTGTGATCATAGCTCACTATAACCTCAAACTCCTGGCCTCAAAAATCCTCCTGTCTCAGCCTCCTGAATGGCTGGGACTGGAGACAGGGGCCACTATACCTGGATAATTTAATTTAATTTTTTTTTTTTTTTTTTGGTGGAGACAAGTTCTTGCTATATTGCCCAGGCTGGTCTCAAACTCCTGGCCCCAAATAATTCTCTTGCCTTGGCCCCCCAAAGTGCTGGGATTACAGGCATGAGCCACTGTGCCTGGCATGCAACGTATGTTTAAATAACCCATGGGTAAAGGAAGAAATCACAAGGGAAATTAGAAAATATTTTGAAATAAGTGATAATAATTGCTAACATATCAACAATTGTGAGATGCAGCTAAATTAGTACTTAGAAGAAACTTTGTCTTTAAATGCTTATGTTAGAAAGATAAATATTTAAAACCAATAATTTAAGCTTCTACTTTAAGAAGCTAGATCAAGAAGAGCAAGATAAACTAAGAGTAAATGAACAAAGAAAAGAATAGAGAGGCCGGGCGTGGTGGCTCAAGCCTGTAATCCCAGCACTTTGGGAGGCCGAGGTGGGTGCATCACGAGGTCAAGAGATCGAGACCATCCTGGTCAACATGGTGAAACCCCGTCTCTACTAAAACTACAAAAAATTAGCTGGGATTACAGGCACGCGCCACCATGCCCAGCTAATTTTT